GATTTTTTGTCTTTTGACTTTTACACGTTTTGACTTTTTGCTTTTGACTTTTTGTCTTTTGACTTTTTTCCGTTTTGACTTTTATCCTTTTGACTTTTTCATTTTTGACTTTTTGCATTTTTGACTTTTTGCCATTTGACTTTTTGCGTTTTCGACTTTTGCACATTTTGACTTTTTGCTTTTGACTTTTTGTCTTTTGACTTTTATCCGTTTTGACTTTTATCTTTTTGACTTTTATCCCGTTTGACTTTTTGCATTTGACTTTTTGTCTTTTGACTATTTGTCTTTTGACTTTATTCCTTTTGACTTTTTGTCCGGTTACCGGCGGCACCCGCCCCCCCCCCCTCGGCCGGCGAGGGTTAAGATCTCCAGAGCCACCACGTGGCGCTACGGTCGGGGTAGGGTGAGTCCAAATCCCGAGGGAAGTGAGGTCACCGGTCATTGTGGGGGAAGGAGGGAGGGGGAGTGACGCGGTATCACGGCGCATGGGGCGTGCGTACTCGTAGCGCCGGGAGTGGGCCGCCCAGGGCCGCCCGCCACTGCGCCGAGGCTGAGGGGAGGGGATTTATTTATTTATTTATTTATTTCACATCGTGAGGCAAATCCGTGGAAAAATACGGCTATTACATGCTCGAGTCAGATACAGAATGGGGGGGGGGGGGCAATGATGATGAAACAAACACGCGGAATCACAGTTCACACAGTCGGATCAGACAAATTGACAACACATTCAGCATACATTTACCGCCGTTTACGTCACTTGCTCGCGCTCATGAAGGTGCTTTCTCAGTCTGGCCTTGAAAGCAGCCTGACCTACGTTGCGCAGTGCTGGAGGAAGCCCGTTGTACTCCGTCCGCTTTTGACTCCGCTTTTGACTTTTTTCGTTTTTGACTTTTCGCCATTTTGACTTTTTGCCATTTGACTTTTTGCTTTTGACTTTTTGCGTTTTTGACTTTTTGCCATTTTGACTTTTCGCCATTTGACTTTTTGCTTTTGACTTTTTGCGTTTTTGACTTTTCGCCATTTTGACTTTTTGCCATTTGACTTTTTGCATTTTTGACTTTTGGACGTTTTGACTTTTTGCCATTTGACTTTTTGTCTTTTGACTTTTATCCGTTTTGACTTTTATCCATTTGACTTTTTTCCATTTGACTTTTATCCATTTTGACTTTTTGCATTTGACTTTTTGTCTTTTGACATTTTGTCATTTGACTTTTTGTCCTGGAATCGGTGCCGCCCCCCATAGGGTTTTTTCGCGATAGCTCCGAACACGCTGGCGATAGAGAGCTGAAACTTGGCATACCTGACCTTTGATCAAAGCCGCATCTTTTGACACCAACCGCATTTTTGGGTCAGGTCAGGTCACTGACCTATGACGTCATAAGTGAACCTCTGCACGGTCTTCAGATGTCGCAACTTCGCAACGCCCTCACTGCCAGAGGAGATGTCACAGGGAAATGAAACTTGCAGGATCTAGTATCCATTATGAGTCCCACAACTTGTATATCTCGGATTTTTCCTAAAGGTCATATGAGGTCAGGTCATTTTCGTGACCTCACCATTATAAGTCAATGGGGAAAAATTAAAACTGCTATTCTGGCGCCGGGAACGATCTCCAACTATCTCAAGCACACAGAATCGTGATTTTATGCACTCCTTGCAAGTTTAGATGCGTCACTTTTGCAATGTTGACCTTGCGTGACGTCATTTATGGCGTCATCAAGGTCATATTAGTTTTTCGTCAATAACTCTTGATAAAATTGAGCTAGCGAGTCGGGAAAGCCACCAATGGACTCAGGAAGACCTGCCGAATCGAATGATATGCGACATGACCCCTTTCGACCAACTTCGTGACCTGGGGGTGCTGACCTGACCTTGACCTGAGGTCAACACCCCAAGTTGACCTGACCCGGACAAAAAGTATATCATTCGACGCGCCTGAGCGAGACGAACACGATGCTGCCAAAATCGGCGCTCTGCGGCCGTTTTTTGCGAAGTTATTAACCAAAAACTGAACCGTACCTTTGGGCACTTGACCTGATCTCAGAGGTCACCGGTTGACCTAGGACCTTAAAATCGGGTACCAATCTCTGCGTCTCGTAACGGCGCACACGCTCGTTTTTCCCGCGACGCGCTAGCTCCACCAGGGGCGAAATGGCGAGGGGGGGTCGTACCCGCCCCCCCCCCCCCCTCGGCCGGCGCGTATGTAGAAAACCAATAGGTCCGGCGAGGGTTAAATAGACCCACTGTACACCAGCTCCGCGCCGGCCACTGGACCAGCTCTACACAGTGGCGCCACAGAGTCGGGCTGGCGCCCTCCCGGCTGGCGGGGTGCGAGCAGTGTGACGATCAACACTGCAGGGCTGCGCTCTGCCCCGTCTGCCGGGAGGAGGCGGACACCCCCCAGCATGTCCTCCTGCGCTGCCCGGCCCTGATGGCCACCCGACACCGACTGCTGGGATCCATCAACCCCGACCTGGAAGAAGTGCGGAGCGGCGCCATCGTGGCGGCCCTGGGGGCCGCCCACAGGTCCCTACAGAGCCGGACGGCTACGTCTCAGCTGTGAGACGGAGGGACCAACAACAACAACAACAGGACTGCGAGAGGCGGCCGCATCATCACCTGTGTCCGCGCTCAACACCGTGCCACGCACTAATGGCGGAAGTCCGACTTTCTCCGATGGAGGAGAGAAGCTGGACGCTGGCTGCCAGGCTGCTGGGGAGGGCGCTGGGTCTGCCATCAGAGGACACCCTGCGCGCGACCGCCGAGGCCTCGGCACCGGCGCGCCTGTCTTCGGTCCGAGGCTGGAGATTGCGAGGCCGCCAGGCCTGGGCGAGAGTGAGAATCCTACCGTGGCAACAGACGGCTGGCGTCATTTTCCGGTTGGACGTGTGCCCGATCCGGGCTGGGGCCACGACGGCGGAAAGGGAAAGCGTGGCTACGCTGCACCTCGCGTTCCTGCCCGTGAAACATGTTTGATACATGTTGATAGTGTCGTGTGATACATGTTTTATGGTCCATTTTACATGACAAATGCGATTATGTGGGTCAGGCAGACTTTTGGGCTACCTTAGGTCACGTTTTGGTCAAGGTCAGGTCAAGGTCAGGTCAAATTAGGTCAAATTTCAAAGTTGATATTTTTGCATAAAACGGGTAAGTCGATTCGATGCAGCTTGTCACGGGGAGTTCATTGGTGTTCTTTGTTTTTCCCTACGTGGTCTAGAATCGCTAAAATTTGAGTTAAAAAATTTGATGTCATCATTTTTGAACAGTTTTTTTTTTGCTATAACTTGGCCAAAAAACGAGATATCGATCTGAAATTTGCTATGTATATAGAAGAGCACAAGGACTATCATATATTTTTCGTTTTTTTTTCGAAATTCGGAAACATTGTTTAATTTTTTTTAGTTTTTCTAAAAAAAATATTTTTTTGAATTTTTAGGTGTCAAAACCCCAAAATTTTGAAAATCCGAGATAGCAGTTTTGTAGCGCCGCTTTTTGGCTACTAGACCATATAAAGAACTTTGAAATAGCTTGGTAACTGTAAATTTGGTGAGCGTTTCAAGATTGCATGTTTTTTGCTCATTTTTGCTCGAACATGACCTCAGTTTGACCTCAATAACTCCCGACCTAAGGTGACCTAAGACTTCAAATTCGGTGTGAAGGTGTCAAATTGATGCCTGGGAAGGTACTGAAGATTTGGCGGCGCTGCGCGCCGCCGTTTTTATGCTATTCAGGAAAAACCACAGGGGGGCCAAAATGGCCCCCAACGGGGCGAGGGTTAACCCTATTCCTGGCGGGCTCCGCCGGGACAAGAAACTGGCGGGGGGCGATTCGGCCCCCCCTTCAGATCTCAAAAACTACACATCGCAGCGACAAACGGTAAACGGCATCGGATACGCACGGTCAAGATCTACAATTTTTACTAAGGTCATTTTCAGGTCAGGTCAAAGATGACGTCACAGGGGTCGAAAAAGTCAAAATGGCGGCGCTAGATATGGAGAGAGTTTTTCTCGAATAACTTTCGAATTAGTCAAGATAGGAACAAACTAAGGGCATCATCGTGATCCTCTCGTCAATCCGCATCGAATGATATATATGTTGACCTCGAAAGGTCAAGGTCAAAGGTTGACCTCAGGTCACGTGACCTCGAGGTCATCACGTATATCATTCGATGCGTCTTGACGAGCTGAACACAATGAGACCATCCACGCGTCTGTAGCTTGTTCCTGTACGGAGTTATTGGCCAAAAACCTTTGGTGACCTTTGATGACGTCACATGACCTCACAGCTGCCCAACAGCAAAACAGACCTCAAGGTAGTGAAGGTTGATCGTATATGAAGTCATGTATGGTATATGGGGCCATTCAGACCCGTTTTAGTGGTAAAAACAGGGAGTTGATTTTTCCCCCATTGACTTATAATGGGGAGGTCGCGAAACTGACCTGACCTTAGGTCACCGATATAAAAATTCCGAGATATACAAATTGCACATACTGGTACCCTAACTAAAGCCTGAAGAGAAGAAATTGATCGGTCAAAAAATCTAGCTCTGGCATGATTGCAAACTTTTCTGAGGTAGGGTCACCAAACCGCCTCTGGTGACCTGACCTGAGGTCAGATCAACTCAAAATTTTCAGACATGTTGCGTAGAAGTTTTTAGGAAAAGTCAGAAAATTTGAGCTTCCTAGCTCAACGCGTTTGGGAGAAATAACCAAAAAACCTCAGGGGGGCTGCTGAGGCCCCCCCCCCCCCCGCCAGGAATAGGGTTAAGGTACTAAGAGTTTCGGGTCGACACGTCGAGCAGTTTAGAAATTATTGGAGAAAAACGAGAGGGGGCTATAAATAGCCCTCCCCCTCCCCCAGTGGGGCGCGGGTTAACTCAAGGGTACTGAAAGCTTCGTCGTGATGGGCCGCTTTTTGCTCGGGTTGTTCGCGAAAAACGAGGGGGAGGGGTACATCCGACCCCCTACAAGTGCGAGGGTTATGATGCCACTTACTGATAGTCTGGCTGTGTAGCCATTCAAGTGCAATGGACGAGTCTCGGAGGATGGCCATTTCATCAATCTTTGAAGTGTGCTGCTTTCTTTCCACGTAGTCTTCCACTGTGCCGACTGCTAGCTCCAAAGCGATGAAGTAAAATCTTTCTGACTTTTCCACGTGGTAGTACCTTGTAAATAAATAAGAAAATAACGTTAACAACAGCTACTGTAGATTTCACACTTCAGCGTTTCCTATGTGCAGGCGGGTCCGGGTCAAAACAGCTATAGTCTGGCAAACCTAAGAAAGAACGGACTTAGAGTGCAGCGACCATTGATGCATGCGCATTTATATCGTGAGAACATATTTTCTCTCACAGCTTTTCACATGAATTTCTTCGAACTATATATTTCAAGTGATCAGAACACGTGCTAAGTGATTCAGGCGCTTCACTCCGTTCTTTCTTAGGTTTGCCAGACTATAATGACAATTGAGCTAGTGTTAGACAATTGAGTTAGACAAATTTTGTCTAATTGGCTAGACAATTGAGTTAGACAAATTTTGTCTAATTGGCTAGAAACTCTGCCATTAGACATTTCAGCTGAAGCGCCGATTTTCACCAACATGGTCTCTTAACAAAATGGCAATATTTAGAGCACTTGTCATAGGCTCGTCATGCTAATTAGATTTTGCACTTGGATAGAGGCTCGTTCGCTGCCGCAGCGGATTGGATGGGAGCGCTGGCCAATCGCGTTGTGCCGGGCCCAACTTAACCCTCGCACGACCAGGCCATTTCTCATAACACGAACGACCAGGGGGGGGGTTGTTACGACCCCCCCCTGGCGTTTCGAAACGGAAGGTCGTAGAGCTTAGCGGAGAAAACCAACGGATTGCTCTCAACGAGATCTCGCGATTGGTGGTATATTTTTTGGTCCTAGGTCAACATTTGACCTACTTTTGACCGGTCAAAGGTCAAATTTTCGGAAAAATAGACTTTTTTCAACTTTCGGCGGCGATTGCGGCAAAACGGTGGGAGATATCGACTTGAAACCTTCACTATTGTGTTTCTTGATTAATTGTCTATCGTTTGGTATGTATTTCGTTTCCCTAGCTCTAAAAATGGCGCGTTGGGAGCGCCGGAAGTCGGCAAGGTCACAGTCGGCGGCAGAAATTCGAAAAATCAAAATTTAAATTTTTGAAATCTGATTGTATTTTTGGATTTGGGAGGTCCATTTGCTCCCTATAGAAGCTAATATTGCTGCATATTCCCATTGAGGTGACAAGAATTAGCAAAATAGTGGTTCGGGCGCTTTTCAAAAATAGTACCGGACGCTGTTCCTCTTGTGACGTCATAGCTCCGTGACCTGACCTGACCCGGTCAAATTTCTTATACCATATGATAGCCAATACTTGCCCCATCATGCATGGGAAGTTTCATCACGATCCATCAACCGATGTCCGTACCACCGGCAGGAAACCTCGGGCGTTGGCACTCAGTTTGTGAAAATCCGGCCGGAGGCTGTACCACTTATGACGTCATAACTCCGTGACCTGACATGACCCGATCAATTTTTTTTCAGCAAAAGATGCGCAAAGGTTGCCCCAGAGGGTATTGAAAATTTCAGCCCGCTACGACAAGCCGTTTAGCGTGCACTTCGAAAAAACCTCAGGGGGGGGGGTTGATACAACCCCTCCCCCCTAGGCGTTCTAGGGTTAATCCGCGAGTTGCTGGGGGGGGCGTTAAACGCCCCCACTTTTTTCGCCGGACCATATCATTAAAACAGCGCGCCGCAGGCGCGCTAAATTTGAAGTATCTGTAGGGAATTGATTAACGTTTATTGTGACACAGTTTCGAAAAAATCGGTTGGAAATTTTTTTGAGATATCGAGGTTTTAGTGACGTCATGATTTCGAGTTTTCGACAAAAAACAGCATATGTTCAAAAAATCATATAAAATCACAGAATAGACATACAGACATATGTTGAACGTTCATTGTGACATATATGACTAGATAAGTGAACCTTTTTTAAATATAAAGGTACTGTATTATAGAAAGCCTTCGCAAACGCGTTTCGAATAGATCATCTTCAGTGCTAGCTTCCCATAATACAAAAAGAAAATGGTACAAAAGCTCACAACACATCGCAAATACACACTCTGCAATTTTTCTCACAATATCACGGGTAGAATGTTTTTATATACTTCTGGAATGCAAGACCGCAAATCGCCCCTCCTAAGGTGTAAAAGCCCCCCTTATGGTTCGTACATGACACACTCTGAATTAATGCCGACTCAAGGATTTTTCTGTGCGATCTCTTCAGACCTGATTTCACCGCACTGGCTTTATCCCACTTAGGTAGGTGACCCTCTGTTTCGGCATGTAACGTAATTGAGTTAGACAAATTATGATTTATCAAATCACGCTTGTGTTCAGTTACTCTGGTTTTGAGCCCTCTGTAAGTTTCACCGATATATACTTTTGGGCAGCCCCCACAAGGAATTTGGTAGACTACGCTGTTCGCCCTTCGCTGTCCTTCAGTTCCTCCCTTAATCATGTCACCTATTTTTGTTCCAGATTTTTCTATCAGCCTAACACCTGCCTGTTTTAACCCTTTTGCTAAGCATTGCACTTGTTCAGAGTGTGGCACAACAATGATTCGTTTGCTTTTCTGCTGTCTTTCTTCATTTTGGTTTCTTGTATTTGCTTGTTCTTTCTTCTTTCTTATGCGTTTGGCACTGCTCTTGCATCTAATGAGAAAAGCTCTTGGGTATTTGAGCCGTTCAAATGCCTCGAAAATGTGTTTGATCTCATCTGCGATGTACTCTTCGCTGCAAATACGGTATGCGCGCAGGAAAAAGCCAATGACGACCCCTGACTTTGTTCTCATGCTATGTGCAGAATAAAAATGAATATAATCCTCCTTACTTGTTGGCTTTCTATAGACCGCAAACTTTACACTAACATCTTCCCTGATAATCTTAACGTCTAAGAAGTTAAGTGTTTGGTCTCTTTCTTCTTCTAGTGTAAATTGAATGCTCCCATGTACTTGATTCAGCTCTTGTAGCTTCACGTTTAGATCCATTTCCTCTGGCGCAATGACTAAAATGTCATCCACATAACGATACCATTTTGTATCATTTCCCATCACCTCACTTAAGCTCACTTAAGGAATTCAGGGGACCTCATTGAGCGGTTAAAACAAACGCAATTTAACGGGAAAAAACTAGCGAGCTTTGACGTCAAGGCGCTATTTACAAACGTCCCTATCGACGGCGCTATAAAGGCGATTGAAAAAGCGCTGAACGGCCTAACTGAAGATTCATTACCATTACCAAAAGAGGATTATCTGTCTTTAGTAAAGCTCTGCCTCAGCTTTCATCCGTTCATCTTCAACAAAGAAGAATATGCACAAAACGAGGGGCTTGCCATGGGCTCACCTCTCAGCGCAGTGGCTGCGTGCCTATTTATGGAAATGTTAGAGGAGGAGGAATTCAGCATGGTGATGGGAAATGATACAAAATGGTATCGTTATGTGGATGACATTTTAGTCATTGCGCCAGAGGAAATGGATCTAAACGTGAAGCTACAAGAGCTGAATCAAGTACATGGGAGCATTCAATTTACACTAGAAGAAGAAAGAGACCAAACACTTAACTTCTTAGACGTTAAGATTATCAGGGAAGATGTTAGTGTAAAGTTTGCGGTCTATAGAAAGCCAACAAGTAAGGAGGATTATATTCATTTTTATTCTGCACATAGCATGAGAACAAAGTCAGGGGTCGTCATTGGCTTTTTCCTGCGCGCATACCGTATTTGCAGCGAAGAGTACATCGCAGATGAGATCAAACACATTTTCGAGGCATTTGACCGATCAAATACCCAAGAGCTTTTCTCATTAGATGCAAGAACAGTGCCAAACGCATAAGAAAGAAGAAAGAACAAGCAAATACAAGAAACCAAAATGAAGAAAGACAGCAGAAAAGCAAACGAATCATTGTTGTGCCACACTCTGAACAAGTGCAATGCTTAGCAAAAGGGTTAAAACAGGCAGGTGTTAGGCTGATAGAAAAATCTGGAACAAAAATAGGTGACATGATTAAGGGAGGAACTGAAGGACAGCGAAGGGCGAACAGCGTAGTCTACCAAATTCCTTGTGGGGGCTGCCCAAAAGTATATATCGGTGAAACTTACAGAGGGCTCAAAACCAGAGTAACTGAACACAAGCGTGATTTGATAAATCATAATTTGTCTAACTCAATTACGTTACATGCCGAAACAGAGGGTCACCTACCTAAGTGGGATAAAGCCAGTGCGGTGAAATCAGGTCTGAAGAGATCGCACAGAAAAATCCTTGAGTCGGCATTAATTCAAAGTGTGTCATGTACGAACCATAACCCTATTCCTGGCGGGGGGGCCTCAGGAGCCCCCCCTGAGGTTTTTTGGTTATTTCTCCCAAACGCGTTGAGCTAGGAAGCTCAAATTTTCTGACTTTTCCTAAAAGGCTTCTACGCAACATGTCTAAAAATTTTGAGTTGATCTGACCTCAGGTCAGGTCACCAGAGGCGGTTTGGTGACCCTACCTCAGAAAAGTTTGCAATAACGCCAGAGCTAGAGTTTTTGACCGATCAATTTCTTCTCTTCAGGGTTTAGTTAGGGTACCAGTATGTGCAATTTGTATATCTCGGAATTTTGATATCGGTGACCTAAGGTCAGGTCAATTTCGCGACCTCCCCATTATAAGTCAATGGGGGAAAAATCAACTCCCTGTTTTTACCACTAAAACGGGTCGGAATGGCCCCATATACCATACATGACTTCATATACAATCAACCTTCACTACCTTGAGGTCTGTTTTGCTGTTGGGCAGCTGTGAGGTCATGTGACGTCATCAAAGGTCACCAAAGGTTGTTGGCCAATAACTCCGTACAGGAACAAGATACAGACGCGTGGATGGTCTCATTGTGTTCAGCTCGTCAAGACGCATCGAATGATATACATGATGACCTCGAAGTCACGTGACCTGAGGTCAACCTTTGACCTTGACCTTTCGAGGTCAACATATATATCATTCGATGCGGATTGACGAGAGGATCACGATGATGCCCTTAGTTTGTTCCTATATTGACTAATTCGAAAGTTATTCGAGAAAAACTCTCTCCATATCTAGCGCCGCCATTTTGACTTTTTC